AAAGGGCTAGATGCTGTTTCTAGAGAGGTTAGTTTTTGCAGAAAGAACTTCCTTTATTATGTGAAGAGACTTGGGCATGCAGATCATAACGGTATAGTTCAGTGTGACTGAGCCTAAATTCTACCAGCCCGGCTGAAGCATCCAGACTGTTCACAGTGGTACACTAGGCTATAGCTGTTTGAGTATCCAACAACATTAGGGCAGAGCCCTGTAGCAGAGGCTGAGGTAGTTGCATAGAATGCACATAATGCAGGGTCTTTAATAGCTTTTTCACTTGCCCTGACTCTTCCTCCCCAGCATCAATTCCACTTACCTAAAGTTCAGGCTGTCCATTTGTACTGCTTGAAAGGCAATACTGTTTGAGGGTTGTGATGGTAATCTCAGGCCAGGATATTGCAGGTATGCTTCTGGGAATATCGATGGCCCAAGCTGTTCCATAGACGCGGGCAGGATGTTTCATGCCTTGACCAAGTGGTAGATGTACCATCTGGTAGTTTGGGGCAGTTTTATATAAGAGATGCTTTTGAATCCTGGCAGGGATGGCACAAGTCGGGTTCTTTGTAGGTAGGTTAAGGGAATGGGACATTGCTTGAGCTTGGCTATCTACGGCATCAGATGGTGATTCACAGTAGAGCTCCTGGATGTAGCACAGTGGTAGCATAAATATACCTAAAGAAGTTGTGATATAATCACCTTTCCTCTGGCAGATTCTGCCGCTTCTACATACGTTTCATGTGGGCACCAGAGGGTGTTACAAGAACAGTGGGAGATCCTCTCTTCCTCTCCCCATCAGACTCTGACTTCCAGCATTCCAGCCCTGTTGTCTCGGGGAACAGTTTGAACCAGGACTAGCATGGTCAGCAGATAGACCCTCAAAATGATGCTCAGTGCAATTTTATACATTACACGTGGGGCCTATGCTCAGTGTACATCTCCACTGTACCCCCTGGGCTTCTGTCCACAAGCATTATATGCTTAGGGTAAAAGCATCTTGGCTGATTTCATGCCTTGATGTATTCTGAGTTGAATGGCAAGAGATCACTGTGCTGGTGGATAAGATGGCACAAGGGCAAGGAGCTGCAGCTGACTTCAGCACCACAGGGCAGTAGAGATTAAATTTTGAGGCCTCACATACTGAAGGTAAGCTCCTAGCTTACCTCCTGGGAGCATGAGGCAGCACTTAAAATCTGAGGAGGAGTGGAGTCAGCTGATAGAAACCTGTCAGACAGATGGTATCCCAGTCAGACCTCCAGAACCTGGAGTGATCCCCCTCTCTCCCCACCCTCATGAGGCTTAATGCTATTAAGTGTACAGAGGTCAAATGTGAACAGACAAGTAGTTGGGGATCAGCTGACAAGATGACTTGAAACCAGCAAGAAGTTTATGAGGGGATCTGTGGCACTTAAAACCAATCCTGTCAATTAAAACCAAGTGTATAACAATGTTTAGGTTTGCAATTTATTGTAATCACAGTGCTGTCTCATAACTGTGTTAGGGAAGATTTAGATAGCTAGCCTTGTAAATTCCTTGGAATCTCTTTACACTGTTCTAACAGGATTAGGATTGCTACAATTGGCCAGAACTTGAATTAATTCTTGGCTGAAAAAGTACTACTTCAGCTTCGGCTTATATAAGGCATCTGCTAAAGGCATTAAGGGAACATTCCAGTGAAAAACACATTTAAAAAGTGCGGCTTTTATGCATGCTTCTGTTAACCTGTTTGTTTTCTGAGGGCTCCCAACTAGTGAGCTCTTAGGTCTGATTTACAAGCCTGATTTTCTTTTTTCTTTATTATTGTAGGTAGCCAATGTGTCTTTAAGGGGCTACCCTGCCCTGCCTTCTAGCTGACAGCTGACTAATACAGTTAACTATTTTTCTCTGTTCATTTTTTGGCACTCTTTGGAAAAAACAGGTAAAATATACAATTGTTTGGCCAGTAGCAGGAGTTCTGTGTCAAATGTGACTGGCTAAAGCAGAAATCTTTGCCACCATTCAATCCTCTTATCTTGACCCTTGCCAAGACTCATCCGGTAGCAATTCTCTTCTTGCTGAGGTCAGAGCTGAAACATTGTCCATCTTTGGTGTCATCTAGGGTGAGGTTTCAGAGCTTAAAGGGTTTGTGGGACATGGGAAAACTATTTTGGAATAGCTCCAGAGACAGACCTGAGTTTGGATGGGAGTAGCATGTCATTTCACCCTTTTGAGATAGCTTAGAGTTACATAGTTAGTAGGGTCAGAAGGGACCTGAGCAGATCATCAAGTCCGACTCCCTGCCATGGCAGGAAAGAGTACTGGGTCAAACGACCCTAGCAAGGTGATTGTCTAGCCTAGTCTTAAAGACCCCCAGGGTAGGAGCCAGCACCACTTCCCTTGTTCATCAGAACCTGGGCACAGCTCGATTGCCACCACCAAGTGCAAAGCCAAGAGCACTCCCCTTCCCACCTGCCACCCACAATAGCAAAAGAGATGAAGTCTGAGCCCCAATATCAACAGCGGCACCTCCTGCCAGGTCTCACACCTGCCACCCCTGCAGCTGCCCCTTTAGGCACGTGCCCTGAGCTGCTGGGATGCCACAGTCTTCCGGCCAGCCTGAAAGTGGGCAGGCCAGGAGGCGGGCTCGGCCCCCACTCTCCACCTGCAGTCACAAGGGGTGCGAGGGCCAGTGCAGAAATGGTGGGGGTGAGGGGTGCTCCCTGCACAGGGGCTGGGGGGCAGCCCCGGGCCTGGCTGCGCCCTGTGCACAGGCGACAGCAGAGGCTGCCTCAGCTGTGGGCCCAGTGGGAGCCGGGGGTCGCTGCCCCGGCCCAAGCGCACAGGGCAGGTGTGGCACAGACCTGTAGAAGCTCTCGGTGCCACCCATGCCGTCAGGCAGTAGGCCTTGGTGAGCTTGGTGAAGCAGCCTATCTCCTGGTTGTTCTTGAAGTTCGCGCGCACCGCCGTGGCCCAGGCTGACACGTGCAGGATGGTCCCCTCGTTGAAAATCCATGCATCTCCTCTCAGATGGCACCCACTGGAGAGAGGAAACCAACTTCCTTCAGGGTGTTCCCAGTTCATTCTAAGAAACTGTTTCAAGGTAGCTTTTGTTTGGCTGAGCAAAGGAGCAGGTTCAGGAGCCTGTTATGAATTTGTTACAAGTGATAATGGGTGGCCTATAGAAAGCAGCTTGTTGCTAAAGCATGTGGAACAGAAGTGCTACCATCAAACGGGTATTCTAGCAGGCTCCTTGCTCATGTTCCTTAGTACAGGGACAAAGAAACTACTCATGTTTGCACTGTATATGAAGGCAGATAATGTTTGCCTTCCCTCTCCATCCCCCCACTACTGTTTATATGAAGAACGCTGGGAATGATCAGAAAGACAATCCTGTACAGATGTGCCACTGACAGGGGTGGGGGAAGTCTTCAGTCCTTCAGCTTTTTAATACAGTCAGAACTGGTACTGATTGTGGTATCAGACCTGATCTTGACCTTCACATATACTCCAGCAAAACATCTGCATGTAGAGCTTAAAGATTGTTTCCATGGGGGTGGGGAAGGGAATTAAGTAGAGAAGGGCCAGGTGAAATCCCAGTGTGGCTTTGGAGACTTGCATTGGAATCCTGGCCCCATTCAAGTCAGTGGGAAATTCCTTGGATTCAGCAGGGGCAGGATTTTATCATTGATGCTGTGCTGAAGCAATTAATTCTAGGTATCTGCCATTTTAATTTGATGTACACTAATAAAGCATGTGTTTAGTTCTCTGACAGCTGAGCAATACCTGCCTCCTCTCCGTTCCTACCACTGGTCTTTACCCCAAAGCCAGAAAGAAATTGTTAACTTCCCTGTATAGGTAGACTGGGAAATATAGCAGGCAAATTAGAAATGCCCATTTACAAGCAGAAATCTGATGTTATCACTGAACCCTGTTGGGGTAAGTAACATGATTGGAATGTTGTTAAAAAATCACTGTAAGTACATGCTCTTCAAGGAAGGATGTCTGGCAGAAGAGATGGTGTTACTTCATAAAAGTTGCTATTACTTGCTTTAGAGCAGTTGTGTCCAGGACCAGGCACCACATACATTACAAATCCTGGACTGGCACTGTGTACAGTGGATCTAGCATGCTGGACAGGAAGAATCTGTGGGCCCTATCTAGCCTGTGGACAGTCCCTATGCTACTCATCTGGCCTATGAGGCCAGGTGAATTTGACACCCCTTAGAATTTAATTATTGATAAGTCAGAAGATCAGAACCTGGGGAGTCTATGGGCCAAGTCTGGCTAACGAATTCAGGGGACAGCCAAGCAGGAAGGATGTTAGAGAGGGCAGTCAGAGAGGTGTCGAGAGGCTGGAAGGACATTGGGGTGGTAGGGAACTGGGGGTTATCAATGGGGACTTAAGTGTCTATACACAAATGCTAGGAGTATGGGGAATAAGCAGGAGGAACTGGCACTCCTGCCAGCAAATAGGGAACATGATCTTGTTGGAATAATGGGCACCTGCTGGGACACCATGCATGACAGGACTGGATGCCTTCTGTGCAGCCTGTAGCACTATGGATCAGGTAGGGAAGAAGGGAGGAGGTGTAGCTCTCCATGTAAAAGAGTTTTATATGCCTCCTCGGAGATCTAAATTGGTTCAAGAGAAGGGAGGCTCAAGGACCTGTGGGTCAAGATACAGGGAGATGAGGAGAAGGGGACTTGATGGTAGGCATCTAGTACAGACGGCCACACCAGGAGGAGGAGCTGGATCTGGAATTTTCCAGAGAACTGATGGAGGCGGCATGTTCATGGGATATGATTGTCATGGGTGGCCTCAATTACCCTGATATCTGCTGGGAGAGGAGCACTTGGCCAGAACTGACCAGTCACGTACATAGGTTTTTCACCTGCTTGGAAGAACTTTATGTAGTATAGGAGGTGAACGGGCCAACTAGGGGGAAGGCTTTGTTGGATTTGGTTCTAGCCAAAGGGGACAACCTGGTGGGAGATCTGAGGACTGAAGGTAATGTGGGAGATAGTGAATTCCATCATCTCATGATCACTACCTGTTGTAGGGCAGGGAAGTCGGCCAGCAGAGCAGAGGTGCTTGACTTCAGGAAGGCTGACTTCAAGGAGCTTAGGAAAACAGTGGGAGAGCTCCTGTGGGAAGAGGGATTGGAGGGGAAGGGTTCAGGAAGAGTGGTCATTCCTCAAAGGAGTGATCCTCGGAGTGCAGAAAAGGTCCATTCCCGTGTGCAGGAAAGGTGGTAAGGGGCCAGGAAGCTCTCAGGTTACCAGAGAAGTTGAGTAGTGCTTAAAGAAAAAGGAGGCTTATGGACAGTGGAAACAAGGGTAGTCACCAAGGAGGAATACACAAGTATAGCCTGTATTTGTAGGGAGAGAATAAGGAAGGCAAGGGCGGTGACCAAGATGAGGCTGGTGACCAAAATAAAGGACAATCGGAAGTCCTTTAGGTATATAGGGAGCAAGAGGAAGACCAAGGGAAACATGGGGCCCTTACAGAATGGGAAAGCTCAGCTGATTAAAAGACAGTCAGGAGAAAGTTGAACCCTGTCATGAATACTTTGTGTCAGTGTTCCTGCAAGCAAATGTTGGTCACCCACTAGGTTGGATACTGGAAAGATCCCGGGGGCAGGGCACGATTACCAACCAATGGTCAGTGTCAAACCGGTAAGGGAGCACTTAAAGAGTCTAAATGTCTTCAAGTTGACAGGATGGACTACCCCTGAGTTTGACTCCAGAGAATTCCCTCAGCATTGTGGGACCATTGGAGAAGGTATTTATAGACTTGTGGTACTCGCGAGAGGTCCCAGAAGACTGGAAAAGGGCCAGGGTGGTGCCAATCTTTAAGAAGGGGAGGAGGGAGGATCCGAGAAACTATAGGTTGGTCTGTTTGACCTCAATAGCGGGTAAGATTTGGAAAAAGCTATCAAGTCCATTTGTGAGAGACTGGTGGAAGGCATGATGCTGAAGGATAGCCAACATGGTCTTGTTTCAGGCAGGTTGTGTCTGGCCAACTTTGTTTCCTATGATCAAGTAACAAACCACTTGGATGTGGAAGGTGCTGTTGATGTCATATACTTTTTAAAATCCAAGGCCTTTGATATAGTCTCCCATGATGCTCTTAAAAAAACAAAACAAACAAACAACTGGGGGATTGTGAGCTGGCAGAGTCCACAGTCAGGTGGGTTGGGAAATGGCTAAAGGGTTATAGCCAGAGAATGTTAGTGGATGGGTATGTATCGTCTTGGTGGGGCGGCCAGTGGTGTCACACAGGGTTCAGTTCTTGGCCCTATGCTGTTCAACATCTTTATCAATGCTTTAGATGAGGATGCGGAAAGCATGCTGGCCAAGTTTGCGAATGATACTAAATTATAGGGAAAAGCAGTCATACTAGGGGATAGAATGTGAATCCAAGTGCACCTGGACAAGCAGAAAGATGGGCAGAGCAGAACTGCATACATTTCTATAAAGATAAATGCAGAGTGCTTCATTTGGGGAGAAGTAACCAGTGACATGAACATGGGTTAGAAGGAGATGTATGCTGGCCAGCACAATAGCTGAAAGGGACCTTTGGGGTTATGCTTGATCACAGGATGAATGTGACTACTGGTGGATCAAAAGAGCTAATAGCATACTGGGATGCATTAGCTGATGTGTTATGAGCAAGGGCTAAGGAAGTGATACTTCCTCTCTACTTGGCATTGGTGAGACCCCAGCTGGAACAGTGTCCAGTTCTGGGAACTTCAAAAAAGACATGGAGAATTTTGAAAGGGTTCAGAGAAGGGCCGCAAGAATGATTAAGGGCCTAGAGGACAAACCTTGTTAGGCAAGACCTAAAGGATCTGGGACTGTTCAGCCTGGGGAAGAGAAGACTGAGGGGGGATTTGGTTGTCATCTATGTAATGGGTGAATATTGGGAGCTGGGAAAAGCTGTTCACTAGGGTGCCCCAGGGGAGGACAAGGAGCAATGGCTATAAACTGTTAAAGGATGGTTTCAGGTTGGATGCAAGTAAGAACTACTTTATGGTAAGGATGACCAGAATCTGGAATACACTTCCCAAGGAGGTGGTGCAGTCCTCAGCCTTGGAAGTCTTGAAGAGGAGACTGGACAGACACCTTGCTGGGATCATTTGATCTCAGGAGTATTCCTGCCCAGAGCAGGGAAGTTGGACTCGATGATCTGTCAAGGTCCCTTCGAGCCCTTAATTTCTATGACTTCTATGACAAGTCACAAGATAGGATTCCTGTGTGGTCATCATAGATGTCAAATCAGACAAGGGAACAGGGTGGGCAAAAACTTAGATATCCATCTTGAATTTTGTAGAAACAGACATTGCACCGCCACAGAGCATTTAAATCCAGAGGTGGTTTTCTGGAGGGTTTACGGTGATCCTTGTAGACCAGCCCTTGAAGTCTTAAAAATTATAGATGATAATTGGATGCAGTGGAGTCAGCAGTTTGCTGCAAGCAGCTGGAGAGAGAGCATCACCTGGCTGGAGCAGCTGCTCATGTAACATCTTGGAGGTACAGGGCAGGAGATATGGGCAAGGTGGAGGCTCCTGGTCCTGAGGCATGACCTAAAAGTACACCCTGCTGGGGCTGGATGGTGTGGTGGGGCTGCCGGTGGCAGGGCAGTCCCCAGGAAATGCCATACCTGTGCCTCGCCAGTGAAGGGTGAGTAGGGGCACCAGAAAGCCTCAGCCCCTGCTGCCTTGCAAGTTACCCCGTGAAGGGGAAAGGCTAGGAGAGCACACCCTGAAGACAAAGCAAGGACCTAGGTTTGCTGTGTAGAGCCTGAGGTGAGGTCTAGGTAGTGTGAAGGGACCTGAGACAGAGCCCAGGTTCACGGTGAGGCCTGAGGTTCACAAGGGGAGCTGGGTGTGAGGGTCCTGGGGGGCGGGGATCCTGAGCCCCAAGAAGGAACTGGGTATGAGGCTCCAGGGACAAGGGGATTCAGGCCCAGTGTCAGGAAAGGGGATGACAGCCCAGTGTGGGATGTAAGGGATCCAAGGGGGTCCGGAGTGAGCAGGGCAGCCCGTGACAAAGGGAGGGACTGGGAGCCCCAAGTAGGTGCGATTTGTGCACCCAATGTAAGGGCACGGGGATCAGGAGTCCTGATGTGAGGGCACTGGAGTGTGGGTCCCAGTGTGGGGACACTGGAGGGAGGCCCTGGTGTGGGGTATGTCGTAGGCTGGGTGTTAGACCATGGATGCCATCTGCGAGGCATTGGACACAGTATAAGAGAAGGTTTGGAGCCATGTATAGGCCCTTAAATGGGTAGCCTTCCACCTTGTTAACAACTTTACATTGGTTTCATCAAAGGTGAGGTAGGCAGGCACTTGGCCCTAAGACAAGTGGGTAGGCCAAAGACTAGACCGGCCCCAGGACACTCACTTGTTATACATACACAAAACTCAGTTATTGTATATAGAGTATAGATCCAATCTATAACCTGTATGTTTGGTGCACTAAGAAGGCTAATTTCTTAAAGCTAAAAACAATTAGAGGGAAAATTAAGAGGGAGGAAACATATTATTCAGACATAATGTGAAATGTGAATAAAAACTGGTAATTGTGCAAGAATGCTTTAATAGATTCTCGTAAAACCACAATTCTGCATTCCTAAAGACAGCTACTTCAGTTTAAAAAAGAAAAAAGTCCTGGTTAACAGAGGAGTTTAGAAGTGGCAATAAAATGCGCACACACGCGGGGGAAAAAATGAGGAAGCCAGTAATAATAAAAATAGATTAACTGTTAAGAAATGCAGACAATTGAAAAAGGTGAAAGATGTCAGTGAAGAATCCGTGGCCAGCAGGGCTTGGTACAATCAGGAACTCTATAAATGTATGGGGATCTAATGAAATCTTACAATGATCTAGCTCTGATATATGAGGCAAGGACTGAAAACTTGTTGCTCCTGAAATAGAAAAGGTGTGATGACTCAACAAATATATCTGGTATTTGGAAAGAAGCAGGATGATGCATTTGTATCTCAGTGACAGTTTAAACATTTCTATTCCACAAATATTCGTTGGGGGACAGGGGGTAATTTAAATAACAAATATTCTAATGAAGAAAAGTGGATAACATTCAAGGGTGTTAAAAGAATTGGCTAAGGAGTTCTGTGAATATATTATTAATGTTCAGCTTTAACAAATTTTGGAACACCATGGGTATGTACACATTTACTAAGTCAACTTAAAATAAGTCAACATAACTAAGGCAACTTAAGTTAAGCCACATCAAAGCATACATATGTACAGATCAGTCAAGATCAGCACTGATCTTGTGAGATCAGTTGACTTAACTAACATGACTCAAGATAATACACCTCTGAGGTGTATTTATCTTGTGCCACATTTGTATAGTCTCTGCTCCATACATGCTTCTATACTGTGACAATTAAGTTGACCTAAAGTTAAGTCAGCTTAACTGTCAGAAAACTAGTATTTTCTGTGGGGTGTATACAAACCCCATACAACTTCCGGAAGGCTGGGTATTGGGTAAGAGAGGAAGTAAACTCCTATTTGTAGGTTGGTTAGCCAGATACTGAGCTTTGAGGAGTCAGATGTGAAGTCTATACAAAATTAAAGGGAGGTATTTAATTAGTTAATGGATTTTATTGAAAATGTTGGACAAACTTGATACCACTTTTTGATAAATATCATACATTTAGTTAATAAAGGTCACTCACCAATTTACTTGAATCCAAGGTTTTTTTTCTATCCGGTTTAGGGCAGAGGAGCCTTTCATCATGGATTCAGGTACAAGGTGAGGGAACAGGTGGCTGCTGTGGCTCTGTCTCTAGCCCTGATCTGAGGTTGGAGTTGGAATCGGAGGCGTAGCAGCCACCTGCAGCCTCTAGGGCAGAGGCGGGCAATAATTGCAGGTGGAGGGCCACTTAACAAGGTTTGAGCTTTCAAGGGCTGTATGGGTAGCCCCACCCCTTGACAGTTACCCTGCCCCCTGGTTGCCATCTTGGGACTAGATGTCCTATCCCTAACCCCTGACCTTTGCCACCAGAAGTCCCTCCCATTGGCTCTCAGAAACACTGCTTTTGGGAGAGGGGTTGCCATTTTGAAACCAGACAAAAACCCAGATCATAAACTAAAAGTTGAACAGCTACTATAACATTTTAATGTTATTACAAAAAATATTTTTGTCATGATTTGTGCTTGTATACTGTATATAGAGGTGATTGCATAATAACTAAAAAATACATCCTTAGTCTTGTATATTATGTGGGGGGGTGTATATGGTGGGGTGAGTGCTGGAGTGTGGGAGGTGTTTTGTGAGGGGGTGTGGCTGTGTATGTTGGGGGTGTGTATATGTGGGGGCAGGGTGTGGGTGTGTGGCATTTGTGGGGTGAGAGGGGATGTGGGGACTCCCCTCCACTCCCCCCATGGTGCAGCAGCAGGCCGGGATGCTCATGCTGCACATTGTGGTGAGGGGTGCAGCCCAGCTAGGCCATCTCTATCACCAGTGCTCCCTGCCACATGCACACAGCCCCCACACTCACCCACCACTAGAGGGAAGCTTCATGTGCTGGAGCCAGCTGCCTTCCCCGCTCCCTGTTACACAAGTCCTGGGACTCTGCGGGGAAGCAGGGGCTGGGGCTCCCCTCCACTTCCAGCAGAGTCTCAGGACCTGCAAGGCAGGGAGTGGCGAAGGCAGCTGGCTCCAGTATGTGGAATTTCCCTCCAATTGTGTGCGAGTGTGGGGGCTGTGCGTATGCAGCTGGGAGCTCTGGCCATAAAGGCAGGCCACCCAGGCTGTGCCCTTTGCCATGATGTGCTGTGCTGGCCAGGGCTATGTACCGCCAGGCACCGCCTGCGCTAGGCATGACCACCCTGCCTGCTGCTGCTGCCACAGCTGTCTACCAGGGCTGTGCCCAATGGAGGGAGATGGGGAGAGAATCTCCACAGCCCCCACCCCCTAACCCTCCCTCATATCCACACCCTACCCACCCAAGCTCCACACTGCTACTGTCACCCTGGGCGTAGGCTCCAAGTTGCCACGAGCCCCAGCCCTACTGTCTGTGTTCCCCCTCTGCCCACGCCCTTGCCCCCACTCCTTCCCTACCTGCTTCCTGGAGCAAGTGAGATGCTGGGGAAGCTGAGCAGGTCCCCTGGTGGCAGCCCCACCTGGAAGCTGCGTGCTGGCCAGGCCGGGCCCTTCCACCCACAAGGATGGAAACAAGGTGCAATAGGGTATGCTGGGGGCATGTGTGTATGTTGGCGCATCACTCCCACCCTCATGGGCAGAAGGGCTGGGTGGGGGGTACAATTTTGTTGGTGGGTGCCATGGGCCAGATGAAAGTGCCTGGCAGGCTGCATTGGGCCCATGGGCCCTATTTTGCCTGTCCCTGGTCTAGGGTTGTCCATCAGGGTGTGGACATTCCAAGTTGCAAATTCATTATTTGATTTGGACTGCAGGTAGAATGATCCTACTAGACAATTTTCTAGTCAGGTGAAATGACACTTTCTAACCCCTCCCCATACAGAGTGAGCAGAATGGGTCCTAAAGAAACTTGCTTAGTCAATACTGACAAGTGCAGGGTGCTGCACTTGGGCAGTAGTAACCAGCAGCACCCTTATAAGATGGGAAATTCCCTTCTTGAGAGCACGGAGGCAGAAAGGGATCTTGGAGTCATTATTGACTCCAAGATGAACATGGGCCGACAATGCGAGGTCACGGTTGGCAGGGCTAACCGGACCTTGTCGTGCATCCACAGGTGCAGCTCAAGTAGGGCCAAGGAGGTGATCCTCCCCTTCTACGCGACACTGGTCAGGCCACAGCTGGAGTACTGTGTCCAGTTCTGTGCACCCCACTTCAGGAGGGATGTGGACAACATTGAGAGGGTCCAGAGGAGGGCCACCCGCATGATCCGGGGACAACAGGGCAGACCCCTACAATAAGAGACTGCGGGACCTGAACCTGTTCAACCTTCACAAGAGAAGGCTGAGGGGGGACCTAGTGACTGTCTATAAACTCACTAGGGGGGACCAGAAGGGTTTGGGAGAGACCTTGTTTCCCTTAGCGCCCCCTGGCATAACAAGGAATAATGGCCATAAGTTGTTGAAGAGTAGGTTTAGATTAGATATCTGTAATAACTACTTCACAGTTAGGGTGGCTAGGATCTGGAACCAACTTCCAAGGGAAGTGGTGCTGGCTCCTACCCTGGGGGTCTTTAAGAGGAGGCTTGATGCCTACCTGGCTGGAGTCATTTGAGCCCAGTTTTTCTCTTGCCCAGGCAGGGGGTCAGACTTGAAGATCTACAAGGTCCCTTCCGACCCTACTTCTATGATTCTATGTTTACAGCTGCCAAATTGCACACTTGTGTTAGTTCCAAGTAGGTGCTTCCAGTAATCACTAGCACTAGCCCCTGTTTGCACTCTCCCATTGCTGTAGGATTTGCTATTGAAGAAAGATGACTGCACATGTCTTTTAACGTGGGGATGCTGTTGCACAGCAGCAACCATATGATATTTCAGAGGAAGAAAAACTTAATCCAAGGACAAAGAAACCCTAGAAAACCAGAGGTTGCCTTCTGCTGCAGCCTTCATCTACTTTTGCAGCCATTGTGAAGTATTTTTGGTTCATCTACCTGCTCTCCTGTTGAAGACTCCTGTTTTCATTTTTGAATTGGTATGAGTCTAGAAACCTCGCTCACAACCTTGCCATCATGGGTAACCCTACCAGGAGTACAAAACTCCAGATGGCATTTCTCTCGAGGTCACTGGTAGCTTACACATTGCTCTACCACATCTAAATTGTGATCCATGAGAAGTCTTCAGTATTGTCTCAGAAGAAAAAAACAATAATAAAATGCTAACACATGACTCCAGTGAAGAAAAGATGCTCAAGCCATACTCAAATTGCATGCCCATGGCACACAGGATGGAGGGGTGGTGAGTGGGAAAGGAAGGGCTGAGATACAGAGGTGTATACCAGGGCAGCTGCTGACACAAGGGTCAGCTCTGGATCCTGCTATGCCAATTATGACTCACCACACTGTCACTACTGTGGAAGTTACAGGTGCACCAGTACATCAGTCCATATTGTATCGGCACCAATAAAAGGAAAATTGACATTATTGGCAATTGGCTTTTTTGGCTGCATGCACACAGCCAGCCCAGCAACTTGGAGAGCAGCATCCGGTTGGTAAGTCTGTTGGTGGGGAAGAAGCAGGGGGAGGGAAGGGACATGTTGGGGCAAACTGAGGCCCCCATGGTGAGGGAGGAGGGGAGCTGTGGCTGGGACGGGCACTATTCATCCAGGGCGGAGCGTGGGGCAGAGCTGTGAGGGGCTCATTCAGTGGCCACAGTGGAGAGGAAGCTCCCACTGCTGCATGCACCCCTGGGGGAGGCATTTGGGGGCTGGGTGTGGCCCAGGGATCTGTGAGGAGGGCAAGGGTGGGGTGCCACTGTGGGCTGGGTCTGGAGGTGGCATGAGGCTCTTCCTGGTGTGGGGGTTGGGATGGGTCTGCATTCAGGGCAGGCGGTGGTACTGGGAGGGGGTTACAGCAAATTCTGGGGTAGCTACAGCCCTCCCTGTAGCCCCGCTCCCAGTGCCACTGCCACCTGCACTGAGCATAGCCCCAGCCCAACCCCCATAACAGAAAGAGCTTGGTGCTGCTCCCAGCCCACAGCGGCAGCCCACCCTCGTCCCGCGCACCTATCCAGGGATCACATGCCCCCTATGCATCCCCTGGGGTGTGCACAATGGCAGAAGCTGCTTACCCCCTGCCTGCCCCTGCCCCAGCTCCCCTGCTCCCTCACTGTGGGGGCCTTGATCTGCCCCCCCATGCCCATTCCCTGTCCCCACCCCTTCCCCCAGTACCCCATCAGACTTAACAGCTGGATGCTGCTCTCCACGCTGCCAGGCTGCATATCAACAATTGGATCGGTATCGGCCCATATGGCTTGTTAATATTTGGTATTGGCCCAAAAAAATCTTTTATCGGTGCACTCCCTAGTGGAAGTGGCTAGTTTTGTGTACCCCCCCACAAAGGTGACGCCTGGGGATGCTGCCCTTGCCTTCCCCCTCTCCCACACCCCTCCCACAGGTTACACTACTCATGGGATGCATAGACTGGGAGACACAAGTGGCCATGAGCTATGGATAGAGTTTAAGAACATAACTGCCATTAACTGGGTCAGACCTTAGGCCCATCTTGCCTAGTAGTACCCTGTCACACAGGGCAAGAGAATGGATGCTGAAAGGAAGAGTGAACAGGGTGTGACCAGTCGTTTTTTTTTCCCCTCTGTTCTTCTTTCACTTGCAGCTTTTGGCATTTTAGGTTTAGGAACTTCTGGTTCAGAAGCTGTATGCCTAATTCTTCCAAGAATTTTTCCAGTCCCTTTTTTTAATCTGGCTAAACTGGTATCTTCACAATATCTGGCGGCAGTGAGTTCCACACTAATTACATGCTATGAGAAAAAACTTCCTTTTGTTAATTTTAAACTTACAACCCACTAATTTCTTTTTATGACCCCTAGTTTTAGTATTGAGATAGGGATTTATTATTTACTATCTACTTTCTCTTTATCATTTAGTATTTTGCAAACTCTTATCATGCCTGCCCCAAGCATTATTTTCTAAACTGAATAGGTTTAGCTTCTTTAGTTTCTCCTCATATGGAAGCCCCTTCATAACACTAGTCATCATAGAAAATTAGGGTTGGAAGGGACCTCAGGAGGTCATCTGGTCCAACCCTCTGCTCAAAGCATGACCATTCCCAACTACTTCATCCCAGCCAAGTCTTGATCTACCTGGGGCTTAAAAACCTCCAAAGATGGAGATTCTACAACCCCTTTGGGTAGCCTGTTCCAATGTTTTACTATGCTAAAAGTGAACATTTTTCCTAATATCTAACCTCAACTTCTCTTGCTGCAGCTTGAGACAACTGCTCCTGGTTTTGCCTTCTACCACCAATGAGAACAGTCTAGCTCAGGGGCGGGCAAAATATGGCCCAGAGGCTGGATCCGGCCCACCAGGCCATTCTGTCCAACCCACAGGGCTCCTAAAAAATTTAGAAAATTAATATTTATGTGCTCCTGGCTGCCCAGGGGAAGCTGGTGGCAGGACCCAGCAGTAAGGCCTGCTTGCCTTCCCTCCCCCCACAGACACCAGCATGGGCCCCCTGCTCCTGCCCAGCTGTCACTATGCTCTGGCATGCCCACTAGCTGCCACTCCCCCCTCCCCCCCCTTCCCCACCTGCCACCACTTTCAGTGCTTCCCTGCCTACCTGAGGGCCACTCCTGTACCACATGGCTCCCAGCTGCATGGCCGGAATAGGGGAGCATGGGGCCCGCGCTGATACCCGGAGCCAGAAGCGGGGCAGGGGGTGTGTGCATCCATGCAATAGGCAGGGTTGCAGGGAGAGCAGCGAGGGAGGGACTGTGTGTGTGCAGTCACCAGCCTGTAGCGGTGCATGGGATTATTCCATCCTAAGTGCAGGACTTCATGCTTGTCCTTATTGAATTTCATGAGATTTCTTTTGGCCTAATCCTCCAATTTGTCAAGGTCCCTCTGAATCCTAGCCCTACCTCCAGTGTATATGCTACTCACTCCAGCTTGGTGTCATCCATAAACTTGCGGAGGTTGCACTCCATCTGACCTCCAGATCATTAGTGAAGATATTGAACAAACTGGCCCCAGAACCAACCTACTTGGTACCAGCTGCTAACTAGATATTAAGCCATTTATTAATCTTGGGCTGTTAAGTGATTTAAAAACTAATTAATTTCAATTGCAAGATTAAAAATTAATTGTGAGATTAAAAAAAAAGTTGTGATTTAATCACAGTGTTAATCACTCATGTTAAACAATAATAGAATCCCAAGTTTTTATAAATATTTTTGGATGTACGCGCATGTACACAAACCTAAACAGTCCCCAAGACCTGGCCCTCCGACACCTGCCCCCCCATACACCTACCTGCGTCCAGCTGCTGATTCTGCTCCCGGGGGGGTGTGTGTGTGTGTGTGTGT